TCAACAGTCAAATTTAATTGAACCCTTTTATTAATTTTTTTATCAAAACATTTTATTGTTTAATCCACAAATATCGATATGCAGTGTACTAATAATTTTTCCAAATTATTAAAAAAAATTAATTAACACAAATAATTGTATTAAAAAAACAATTACAAATTTTACTAATTTCCATTAATACTATTTCGACTACAATACAGAAATCACTAAATCTAACTTTCAAGATTTATATCACAAATTAAATTGCGATTAGAATTATCAGAAACAAAATCGATATTTGATCTACAACATATATCTTGAGTAGAAGTATCTGATCTTTGAGTGTACGAAAAATTTACAGCAAAGACGCGTCTAACATTTTTGTACAATGTTGTGTTAATTAACATTAATTTGTTAATTGTAATTTTTTTATTTAAAAAAGTGGCATGTACATATTCAAAAACTCTGCGTGTCTCCATATTGAAAGAAGAGACAGGTTATAATGTAAATCCGCGTGACCGACATCCGCTGACAGAAAGGAGTGCCTGTACAGTGTGTCTGGCATTTCCCTTTTATCTAGGACCTCCGCGTCCGTTGAACCGTCGGTATCTTCTAATTTTTGTCAGCTACAGTAAAAAAGCTTCATATCCGTCCAACTTTTCGCAAGACACGAAGATAGAATGCATCTATTAATAAAGTTTCCATTTCCGACTACTGGCGTGCGAAGTCCAAAATTCTCGTCGTTAAACACACGACACAACATTTTTCAATTGACCGAAGAATTCAACGTTTTTGCTATCAACCGTGATAACACGTCCGTATAAAAAATAAAGATAGCAAAAAATGTACATACATGAGACATCATACGTTAGAAATCTTCACATAATGAAAGGAATGTGATAAAAAAGGACTCGTGGCTTGAAATGCTTTCAAGGTCAGCCATTGACGCTAAGTACAAAGTTTCGGCGGTAAATCATATCAATCGTTAAGTTTAATTTGACATAACGATGGATGAAGTAAACATAAGTAAATTTCTCAATAAACCGACCAACAAATAAACGTTATTTATATATTAAATTCTACTGGTAGGCACGTGTGGACGTTGTAACTAATCGCTGAGCACAGCTAAAAATGCGTAGAATTAACAGAAATGTAAACGTGTATTCTGTCTCGGTAAAGTTTCATTTTACTTTAGAGGAAACCGATTACTAAACGCCTCTAGTTCTTGGTATTTCCTATTACACTTGGAGTGTTGCAATGCTTAAGTTAATACTTTATGAAACATGTGATCGCTTATGCGAACTTCGACGATCTTACTTTTTACTAACATATTCATACCGTAATATAAAAAAAAATATTTAAATGTAACACAATGTCACCCTTAATGAATGAAGTTACAGTTACAATTGTATGAATGTAATACACAAAATTAAGATATGGAGTATGAAGGGAAATGTATATTTATGTTAGAAGTTGTTAAATGGTTTTATGATTTAAAAATGTTTATGTAGATTAGTAACGGAGACGTTAGTTTTATAAAGGAGAAGCAAATACATATAACGTTACGAAGATATACAATGTTATTGGGAGGAAATGGTATTTCTATGTTGGTTATAAAAGTAATCTGTTTTAGAATCTGTAAAATATTCGAAGATACCATTTCAGTACTAAGCAACAATTCGTTCTGTAGGACTTACATTATCGTGTTTATAAGATACGTATCCTATAACACATGTGCCACACATTCACGGTAGACTGGTGGCACTTGCACTATAACCGCGGCAAAAAACGACAGGAAAATGTACGTTCCACACCCAAAAATCCTGTCACGTTCAGACAATACTGACACCTCACTAATAATATGGCTGCCGCCTGTCCGTTCGTTCAATTTTCATGTAAGAAGGGGTAAATCATAAACTACGCATTTAAGATAGATGATATAATTGTATCACGGCGGCAAAAAGAAAGAAGATGATAATATTTTTTCTTAACTTTTTAATTACTTCTTTATGTTCTATCATATTCATTTATATCTTAATTTCTTGAAAGAATTGTTCTTATCGCATAAGAAGTTTAAACATATATCTATGTTGCTGACACAATAATGTTAACTTCATCGCGAAATACTTCCTAAACTTTATTAAAAAAAAAATAGCATTCCCATCTAAGCAATAATATTATGTGTTGCGATCACAGCGCGCTAAATTATATCATTTTGTTCTTTTTCAAATTTAAGAATATACTAAATAATTAGAACTTCATTTATGACAATTTTTTAAAAATATTTTTCACAGTAGAACAAATACGACTTAAGAGATATACAAAATATTTAAATATGAAGAATTAGACACAGAATTCATAAGAAAACAAGAAACAAATATATACGTAGAATTTATACACTTTATACATAAGAATAATTATATAATAATTCTTTCCTTCTTTTATTTTACCAACCTATGTTCTCTAATTATATGTAGTCTAACATGTTATATAGAAATAGTAAATATTTTGTAGAAAGAAGAATATAATTTACTATTTACAATAAAGAGACAGTGGATATTTAATAGCAATAAGTTTTTTTATTTATGTATTATGAATATCTTTATCATATTTTATTTCCTTTAATATTAATTTTATTATTATAGCAGATCTTAAAGAAAATTGGACACATTTAAAGTTTGAAATAAGGCAAATTAATAAATGTTATAAAACGTTTCACGTATGTCTAACGCTGCCATCTATACCATTAATCATTGTTCTATAGATGGGAATGCTGTTTTTCAGAACATTTCTTGAGAAGTAAGAGTGGGATGAACAATTTTTGTTTTCAATAGTGAATATTTGACCCCTAGATTTTTTTATTCTAAGAATTGGAATCTTGTGATAGTGAATTACTCTTAATAGTGAGAAGTTATTTTTTTCTTCAAATAAAACGTATTTTGTTAAAAGAAGGTTTCTATTCATTCTAACATTTGTATTTAAATATTCTTAACTAAAAATTTTACTTTTAAGAAATGTAAGTAACGAGTGAAACTGTATTAGTAATGATATATTTATTTGCTTACAAGAAATGAATATTTTTCAATTAATAAATGAAATCCGTTCTGTTTCACTTTTTAGTTCGCTCTTTCGTTGTCAGTCTGTTATTTCTACATTAAATATTATCATGTTCCAAGCTACTTAAATTCCCTTTGTTTTTCTTAACCTAATCCGTCGAAATTCCGTTTATGACAGGATAAACAGGTACAATGATAATTTATCGCAATGTCATCATTAGTTTTATATATTTTTGAATTTTGTTAAAATTTGT